AAGCCTAAACCCTAAGCCCTCCATCTACTCCCCGATCTTCTCCGGCTCGCCGAGGCCCGAGATTCAGGAGTTCTGGAAGAAGGAGCGGATCTACGAGAAGCTGCAGGACCCTGGGGAGGTACTAAGGGTTTAGGGTTCAGGGTTTAGGGTTTAGGGTTTAGGGTTTAGGGTCTAGGGTTTTGGGGGTTCTGGGTTTTGGGGCTTCAGGGTTTCAGGGGATTTAGGGTTTAGGGTTTAGGGGGTTTAGGGTTTATGAGGACCTTCGTGTGGAGTGTAGATACGATATCGTGGAATGTCGTGTGTTTTGGGGAGTTCCACTTTGAGCTTCACATGCTGTTGTGGGGTTTAGACTGGGGTTTCGGGGTTGGGTTTGTTCGTAAGGCTACTACCTTACGAGTCGGGAATTCCAAGCTGAAGCACAAGAACTCATCGTAGCAGGGATCACATCAACGTTTCGGTGAGTGTATAGGGCCGCTCAGAAATTTGATGCTCGTATCTCTCGGGTTTTGTAATTGGGATACCAGTCTAGGATAACTATAGGAGCCTCATAGAAGGTCTGTATACCTTATGGAAGCCTTATAGAAGCCCTACATACCCTAAACTGTCCACCTGTAACCCTGAACCCTAAACCCCAAACCCCAAACCCTAAACCCTAAACCCTAAACCCTAAACCCCAAACCCCAAACCCTAAACCCTAAACCCTAAACCCTGCATATCCTGCCGCCTCGAGCTTCGGCTTCAGCACATCCGCTCCTCGGGGCCCATGGACAGGAACTTGTGTGATCCGAGCCATGAAGTTCAGGCCTTTCAAGTCTTTCTAGAAGAAGATGGGTTTAGGGTTTAGGGTTTTTGGATGCCATTTCAGTTGCCAGCAAAGCATTAGACAGTAGGTTCTTGGTGTATGATATCTTCGTTGTTGTTGGTTCTTCTTTGCAGTTTAGCTAGGTGTGGCTGAGGCAGTACAGGTCGGCCGATCCTGCACTGCCCGTTCTTCTACCGCAATGCTACATGTGACGGGCGCTGTCCGGGGAACCGGTGGCGCGCTTTCCTGATGTGAGGGAACTGAGCGACCGCGAAACGACTACTTCTCGGTGGCAACCCTTGATCTGATTCTACCAAACTGGACTCGCCCATGGACCTGGAGCTTGTCCTGCTTCGGTTTTCTTCTGCATCGCAAAAGCAGGCAGACGAGCTCGTGACTGCCGCGGTGAATGGCCCCACATTTGAGGTGCGGAACAAACAGCTGAAAGCCCCGAAGCCCTAAACCATAAACCCTAAACCCTGTGGCCACACGCCCCCTAACCCCGAGAACAAAAAGGATCTCCAGTTAATTAGCTTTAGCATCCCACTGAACCCTGAACTTTGAAACTCACTGTTTTCGTTGAGGCCTTTCCTTAACCGGTTATTTTCTATCCAGGAGACGCAACCTAGCATACATTGTGAAGTCAATATGGGAAGATCCGGTACGGTTACAGGTTGAAGCTATTCTGCAGCAGCCCCAGAACTTGGATCTGGTCAGTGTCCACGCTGATGGAAGCTTCTGCTGAAGGCCATGTCGATGTTCCGTGGTTGTTGCTGGATGCAGCTGCTGACCAGGACTTACACGGCCGTCGCGGCTCGACTGCCCTATTGGAAGCTGCTCGGCATGGCCACGCAGAAATTGTCCGATTGCTGCTGGATGCTGGAGCTGACAAGAACTCACCCAGCAATGACGGCGAGACTGCCCTGATGATCGCTTCTGAAACAGGGGACGTTGAGCTAGCGTGCTTGCTGCTGGATGAAGCTGCGGGTGGGCAGAATTTGAAGGCGACGACGGGCACATAAGCCGACGGGTCTCTGTGCCCGTTCGTCGCCTTCAAATTCTGTCCGCCCTCAGGGATCTTCTTCCAGCTTCGCATTTACCTTCTTGCGCCCTTTCTGCCCCAAGAACCGTGGACCTGGTGAGCGACATAGTTCAGATCAGCACATTTCTACTGCAGATCGATTGGTGGTTTGCAGGATTCACGATCTTCTTTGTACTTCCATCTCTGGCGTTCACGCTCACGAAAGTGTCGGAATTGGTTTGGTTTGGACGTAACGGAATACTGCCGTCTCTGCAGCACTGGCTCAGGACGGCTTGGTTTCCGTTCCGGGTTGAGCTTTTTCGGAATTTGCTTCTGCTTGGTCTTAGGCATCTTCTGTTGCTTTCTCCTTAGCCCTGCGGTTCCGTAGCCGTCCTGCGCCATGGCTCTGTGATCTCGCCTTTCAGGCTGAGACTTCTCCCATTGACCCGGTCAGTCCCGCTGTCCGACAGGTCTTTGGCTGGCTCTGCTCGTCGAGTGGTTCCGGCACGAAGCCCAGACAGCGTCTGAATTTCTATTGGGTGACCCTGCCCCCGGCAGGCTTGCTCTTGGCTCCGTTCCTCCGATTCGGACCCCAGGCTGGACTGCGCCTTGCCTTCTCCTCTCCGGTGTTGTCTGGTCCCGCCAGGCTCACCATGGAGGAACACCTCGACCAGCTCATGAATGAGGACCGTTCGGCGACCGGTTCCTTTTGTTCATGCTGGTCCTGGCCAGGACTCTGATCCGGACCTTCGGCCCGGCGCTCAGTTCCTTTTTATAATGATTTGTGGCAGCCCGGCGCGGTCAGGTCGGTGGTCACTCCGTGTCCTCATGATCTCGACCCTGTGCCCCGCCGTTGCTTCACGTCAGTTTTATGTTCTGGTAGCTTCTGCAGATCAGCCTGCTGCTCTGGTCACAGTTGCTCTGTCCAGTTTGCATGCATGCTCACGTCTGCTCCGCTGCCGTTTTGGCTTAGATCTTTGGCCTTGGGCCTTTCTTTTCGTGCTCCCCGCCTTCTTGACCTTGACCTCCTTTCCGGTCATGGCCCGCCACTCCCCTTCAGACAGCCGGTCCCCGTCTGGCCCACCTGCACCATCCGGTCCGGTGGTCACCAACAACCCCGGCCCCTCCGTCCGGGAGATCTTGGATGTGCTCGAGCATGCCAACCACCGGGATGACTTTGAGACAGCCCTGGGGCAACTCAATGCATCCACCTTAGGGCAGCTGCAGCACAGCATGTCCGGTGCCCTGGTGGACTTGCTAGCGGCCCGGTCCGCAGCCCGGTCCGCGGATGTGGAGATGCCCCCGTCCCCGGTTACCGAGACTTCTCCGGCTGACCCGCCTCCGGATCCGGCTCATGCTGCTGGCCGTCCCTTCCCGGCACCAGTTACGCCGCCACAGGCTCCCGGCCCAAGCTCCGGTCCCGGCCCCAGCTCCGGCACCGGCGAAGGCTCCGCCCCGCCCGGTGTCCGCCAGCCCCCCGGCCGCGCCCCACCGGTCCGTCACCGGCGCAGACAGCTGCCACTGGGTTCCGGGCGGCGACATCTCCGGTCACCGGGCCAACCCTCCGTGGACATGCTCGGAGGGTTGGCAGCTGTCGCGCCTCGGCATAGATATCGAGGGCCAGCAGCATGAGATTACCCGGCCGGACCATTGGCCGTACGCTGACCTTTTCATCCTTGAAAGGGCTCAGCTCCCCTTGTGCGTTCATATTCCGGACCCTCCCGGTCCGCTCGCCCACTTGCCGGTCCGTGGGTTTTGTACCCGTCCGTGTTCCGCCCTGGTCACAAATGCCTCCTGGCGCAGCCGTCAGTGTTACGGGCTGTGCTTTCGTCCGGTCCACTTGGGCGAACACTCCGGTCACAGCAACCACGGCTGTTGGAACTGCTTGATCAAGCGGCCCCGGAAGAATCCGGCGTGACTATTTGATCCG